AAATAAACAGATGCTTTTGAAACTTAAGAATTGTACTTTAATGTACTTTTTGCCCGATCGTGCTATTTATTTTTGTTCACGCTCTACAAGCATGTGTGAATTACTTTTCAGCCTACCCACGTACTTAAGACAGCGGACAAGTATCACGAATAAATGAAACATAACTTTTAATGCCATCTTCTAAGATACAATTACCTTTTCTTGTTTCTGAGAAGTAAGTTTAGAAAAATTTTGTGTTTTTCACAAATATCAATTTACTATTTAAATTGGTTATCATGGTAGCTTATAAAAACAGGCGTACATAAAAAAATCATGAAACAACAGTACAGTCTTTTGGATTGCAATGCCATGTAGTTCAGAGAAAGCCTGAAGTCTGAGTGGAACAAATCATCTCCACCTTCAGGGTTGAAGAGGAAGCCAGCAAGAAACCAGAAGCAAGCACCAAGGTGAACCATGCACAGAAAATGAGGTCTGATATAGGCCACTCCAAGCATGAAAAGAACTGTGAGATAGCAAATGGCAGAGTAACAACTGTCTGTAAGAGGATCTGGAGACAGCCAATGGGAGTAAAGGAAACAGTACTTTAGTAAGCCCCTGAAAAGCGCTGGATGCATGTCAAGTGAAGGAAAAATGAACAGAAGTTGTATGTTTAGGGAACAGGCTGGGTCGGGAGGACAAGAAAAAAATGCAGTATAAAACACCAAGTAGGGTGAAGGGATAAACTTGTATCAGAAGCAGCCAAGGCAGTCAAGAGACTGGGTACTCTGAAAGGGCAATCTGTATGGGCCAAAGTGATCTCAGCCTACTTCAAGAACATACATTATCTTGGGGCTTGCATACAGAGACCGGGTGAAACATGAGTTGGCACAGCAAACCACAACTTACCTATGGTGCTGCTTCCATTCTTGAAAGTCACATCTTCAACTGGGTATTCTGAGGAGTTGATACTGTCTGCATCAGTGCCAACTCCCTGCTGAGGCTCAATGTATGAATTGCGAGAACTGCAACCCACAGGCGGAGTCTCACTTGACCGCTTACTACTCAACACCTGCAGTTCAATGCCTTCCTCCTCTCTGCAATCCAGCAAAACCAGTAACTGCTCAGTTCCAAAGCATAATTATTCTGTGTCACTTATGTACTAATGGATGACCGAAGTAACTTCAAAATTTACCCCAATGTTGTCTACCACACTGCCAACCTTGAAAATCTGTTAATAAAAACAAGACTCTAAGTCTAACATTAGTATCTGCTTCCAAAAAGTTCACAAGGTTAGGCTTTGGGTTTTATTGTTAGGACATTAGCCCATTGATTCCATTTTTAAAAGGCTTGGCATTTGGTTTCGTTTTTAAAAATAAATATCTAAAAACCTTCTAAGTCTGATCTTTGACTTTTCGCTAGTTGGGATGGAGTCCAGCTGGGTCCACTCGGCACGGCGGCCACTGATTGGCCTATTGTACCTGCCCCGGGTGTTTATGATGATGGAGAATTTGGTGGAATGAACACTGGCAGGGGAAACCGAAGTACTCAGAGAAAACCTGCCCCAGTGCCAGTTTGTCCACAACAAATCATACTTGACCATCTTTCACTTTTGTTTTACAAATAACTTCCTGCAGATGGCAGTGTTCATGTGGTACACAACATAGCTTTGTTCACCTGTTAATAAAATTTCCTGTATTTCTTTCCCCTGCATTCATTTCTTATCATGGTTTTTATGTTACAATGCTGTCAGTATCTCTGACTATATAGCACTGAATGGCAGGACAGGCAAAGAATGAACTGGAGAGGATACTGAGAGAAGTGGTCATGGCCAAATTTGAGATGCTGTCATCCAGAGGGACCTAGGAAGAAAACATAACACCTCAATCATGGTGGTCAGTACACCAGCTGGTGTTCAAACCAGGCACCTCCTAAATGCAGATCCGAAGGATTACCATTTGAGGCAATTTTTTTGATTTGTTTCATTCTGGTCCGTCACACTAACATTACAAATATAAATCACTCCGTCCAGTGTGACCTGTAAGTTTTTTACTACATGAAAACTCAACACCCTTACACGTTTCGGTCTCTGTGGACCATCTTCAGAGGGCAAACATCACTACAAATAGGAAACCACCATCACATAAGTTGTTTAGACGTAAGGTACATACACTTATATGCTACAATACATAGTACACAAAATAGAACATTTCACAAACACAGCAGTTTCCTGGGAATCTAAAGTTTTTATAAAATTGTATAAAATGTTATAAAAACTTT